ATAAGCTGAAACGGTCAAATATTTATTACTGAGTATATTTAACTGTTCTTGTTTGTTCCTACAAACATTTACAAATCTCAGCTTCTAAATAAATAAGCTTCTACACTCGATTTTAACAGATTTGGTGTTAAATTCCAATAGCTATGCAAGTTTGATTTTACTGCCCCGCTTTAACTTTGTGTAGTTTTAAATGCGTATCACAGTAACATAAAACAACATTAGTTGTTGTAGTGTATTAGTTGTTGTGTGTTGGAATGTATAGAGGGAATTAAAGGAGTTAACCATCGTAAGTTTTGTTTTTTGGATTTACAATAAAATGAAATTATTGAATAGTATGGATGTAATTTCCAAGATCCATTTCATGCAGTGAGTTGATATGAATCAACATAAATTTATATTTGTGTTTGCATTTCGAGACTCTTTGCTAAACAGGTTTTCAATGTAGTCGTTTTGTTTTCTGTTAGCATGTTATTGTTTTTATTTTCATCAAGTCATACCAATTTTGTGTTATTCACAGTAGTGTAAGCTGGTAGATCAAAGATTTTGTTAAACGTTTTGGACGATTCTTCATCATACTCAGACCTAGGTCGGTTTAAATATTGTTATATATTTTTTATCAATGCATGTCTATCTTTTTGAAAAAAAAAATCTTTAATATTGATTATATTCTTACGATTAGAGGTTTGAGCTCACAATCGTTATTTTTGCACTTAAAGTGTTAAAAATATTGATTCTCGCAGTACTAAATAATATCGTGAACACTTACTTGAAACATTTTAAGACTAAATCATGGTTTGATTATCATTGATATCTTACAACTGGTTTTCCACTATCAGTGAGTATTTAAGAGGAAGACTGTTCAATAACTTTAGCAACTGTGGAGACAGAAAAGCTAAATATTCATAACGACAAAAGAAGAATTATGAAATAAATCATAATTCAATCTGTTTTAAAACTTACATAGGAAACCATTTATTGCACCTTAAAACATTATAATCAATAATTAAAGAAGTCTGTTGATAAATAATTCATTCATAATGACTTTTAATGAATTAGGAGTCTTAAATAGAGCATACAAATTCACTATAAAACATGTTTTAATTGCAGAAATGCTTAGGGCAGGTGTAAGACAAGCAAATTTATAAAGTGGCTGTAAGTTATTCTGTATGTAGTAATTGTAATATTTGGCAAAGAGCCAAAGCGTGCTTACAAAGACTAATCGTGCCAGAGATGTTTTCGTCGCCATTTTGTAATCTACTAATGGTCCAAGACTTGCTACAATTGGAAATGTACGTTTAATTATGCATTCATCTCAATTTGTATGCAAAAGTTCGAAGGGCTTCTATTTTATCGTTTTTGGAAAGTACTTATTCCAAATAAATATTATGCCGTTGGAAATAAATGGAGCTATTGGTCAACAAAAAATATAGAATTGCTTAGGTAAAAATCCAAGCAGACCTGTTTAAAATACAGAGAAGAAAGAATAAGTAATTCAAAACGTTCCAAGTTTTGTTCAGGCGATATTGTATTGGTTGAAGAACGTAATATTTAACGAATCTCTTCTTGTGGAAGGTGGCTTTAAATAAAAAGATGGGTAATAAGGTAAATTTAGGAGTACACCAAACACTGAAACAGTATAAACATTATCCTTGTTTCGGGCCAAGGAAAACCCTGACAAGTAACTACGTATGTTCCAAAGAAAGATTTTAAGTTGAGGTAATCTGAAAACTTGTTTACTTCCTGCTAAGTTGAACATCTTGAAACATATTTCACCCTACATGGAAACAATTTTTAGTTTTTGATACTACTACCACATATGTCATTTAGCTATGTAAAATACACAAGCCTGAAATAATGTATAAAATAATATTCCAGGATGAGGTATGTGGATCATAACAAATGTCCATTTTATTTTAAGATGTGTATGTAGTTCGTTTAAAAGAATTTAAAAATCACAAAAGGAACCTCTGGCGAAATGACTCAGTCATTTCAATAATAAAACAATCGCTTGGTGTTTCTAAAAATGCGTTACATTCTAATAACAATTTTCGTAAAAGAAAAATATTAGTAGAACAAATTCAGGATACTTAACTCATCTCAGTTTTAATATTTGAAACCAACCAGTTTTTGAGAATTCGTGTGATCTTGCATAGATGGATTGCACCATTTTATTCCTCAAATGCCCATTTAATTGTATCAAATTAAATAACTATTTAAGATATGCTAATCAAATGTTCCTTCATGGAAAAACTAAGTTTAACCTTTACTAAACAATCTTTTTCTCAGTCTATTGCAAGAGTTGCTTGGGAAGAGTAAAGTGACTTCCAAACAGCTGATATCACGACGCCTGGGGTGCGAGAACTGATAAGGCACGACCTTGCTGTGATAAGAGAGGGTGACATTCTTATCCCTCCGTGTTAATGCCAAGCTTCTGCTTTGAGAAAGGATTACAGGGTTTTTAAATCTTTAAAGCACAGTAGGGAACTCTTATGAACGTTTAATACGCTCGTTGTTCACGCTAACGATTAAAGTTAACTTCTTTATGAATAAAACAGACAGTAAGATATTTGTTCTAAATATGTCTATCATATTGTTGTTTTTAAATAGGACGATTAGTTCTCACTTTAAAAGTAAAATATTAATCGATAGATTAGTTTTAGTACTCAGATTTACAAAATACTTGTGTGCAATTGAAAAAGGTTTTAGGCCTATGGTTTGTGCAATGAGAACAGTTTCATAATAAATGTTTCCTTTCACTAACTGGTTGTAGATATTACGATAAAAAGTTCCTTTTATAACTCACAAACAATTTAAGGGGAGTCTGTACCTTTTTGGTGAAAAAAAAAAGATTTTTTTATTTTTATCTTAAAAAATTCTTCAATTCTTTGTGTTTATTTATATATATAACACTTCATATTTTGCAAAAGTTTTTTTATAAAAAAAAAACAAATAAATAGTACTGCACGATATTTTTCAATGTTCTTAGGATGCGCGACCTAAGCCCTTTAGAACTTCAAGGGCGTTTTACCGAAAATAGTGTTTTTTAAAACTTAGGTACGCATAACTTAAAAACTATAAGAGATAGCAATATGAAACTTCACACACATCTTCTTCACATCATGGTGAGTAGTGCTTGATACCTCTTTTAGTTTAAAATGATTTGGTTTAAGTCATTACCAAGGTAACATACAAAATAAATCAGGTAAAAAAAATTGCATATTTTATTTATAAAAATAAAAAATTAAAAACAAGAATATATTTAAGTTTTAACTAGCAAGCCGGGTACCCTATGCCATAGAGATCATGTAGTAAAAATTTCACTTTAAATGGTTTATAGGTTGCTGAGGAATGCGTACCTATATTGGTGCATATCTTCCCATTTAAATAGCATTAGGGCGTAAAAGGGACAGACTCCCCTTAATATTACGATTCTTAAATAAACGGAAAAATAGAATTAAAATATATTAGATATATGATTTTGTATACGTCACTATGAAAACTAGAAACAATGTTTTTAAAAACTAAAACTATCCTCAGGATTAATTTAAAAGATTTTGTGATTCATTCAAGTAGGAAAATAGTTTACCAATTGAACTGAGTACAAAACGAATTTATTTTCTTAGAGAATATCTGCCTGGGTCTTATTTTTTTTAAATTGTAAATACTAAAATTGTTATTGAACATCAGGGGTTCCTGGTTTCTTTCATATATCGTGTAATCTATTGTGTTGGAGAAAATACTATTACAAGGTGTAAAACCAACAATTCAATTTTATTTAAATAAAATAGATTTGACAAGTCAAAATTTTTCGGCTATAAATTTTATAGTAGCTTGGATGTACTTTATGGAGTTTAGAAGTTGAGTACTTTTGCTTTCACACTTTATAATACTTGGTTATTTTTAAATCCTAAAATTAGTAAAGTAAAATTCAATTTGGGTGGAGCAAAGAACAAACATCGGTTGGTTTTAAAATTGTTTAACCATAAGGAGTTACTGTTACAAGTCCTTGAATTTTAGGTAGTATTTATAACCGTTGACCTTTGGATATATAACTTAATAATTTAATAGTAATCAAACATATAAACCCAAATAAAACACTTTTAGCGAATTTCCCTATAGGGAAGTAGCTATTACCGTAGGTCTCATGGTAAGACCTAAGCCCGGGACCGATTTACTTTTTCATTTTGATGTCCCCAGAGGCCAAAAACACCATTCGTTCAAATTTTTATATATCTATATATATATATATATATATATATATATATATATGTGTGTGTGTGTGTGTGTCCATCCGCACGATAACTTGAGTAATTTTTGTCCGATTTTGATAAAATTTGGTTTGAAGGTGTAAGGCGGGATAAACTTGAATGAGTTCGCGAACCAGCATGATCGGACTATGGGAACGGGGGTTTATGGGGGGTTTTATGGGGTAAAAATAGGTTTTTCCCATTTTTGACCCTAAAAACACAAAATTTCACAATTTCTTTTTAAACCATTTTGTAGAGCTTAAAAAAACAAATAATTTAGTATATTGAAGCGTTATTATGCGCCTAATTGTTACGGAGAAAATTCTAAAAAATTGTAATTTTAAAATTCCCATGTTAGTCTTATGGAGAATAAGTCAACTGTTGTAGTTTGCTTGTTTATGAACATATTTTGATCAAATTTGGAAAATACATGAATTTCTTACTAAACCGCAGTACTATAATATTTTACATAAAAAAAACTTTTTTACCCTCCCTGTTGCAGCAAACCTAAGTAGGTACTCATTAAACTAATTCTGTTTAAATAGGGAATAACTTAAATGTGATATTTTTAAGGAGACATTTTAGTTTAAATCCAATCAGCCAAATGGAAATTCGCTAAGTCTGCAGGTTAGCTGCGGCGGGGGTATTTACATATACTGTGGTTCTTAAACTCTAATTCAAGACCCTCACTCACTCACAATTCACATTGCACATTGTTTTTTATACGCAGCTGAGTTATAAGTCATTTATGTTAAAGTGATTGTATTTACTTCTCATAAATCTTCATTCTCACTGTTATAACCAATGAAGTCTAATTCTACACAGTTGTGTTCAACGTGATGACTTTCCGGAGGTTTATGGATTGTCGATAGTTCTGAGAGGTTTGATGTTCGAAGGTTCAAGTCCATAATGTCTAAATGTTCTACACCTTCGTCACGAGGCAGACGCCAGTTCAAAGTCTTTATGTGGAGATCCTGCAAGAAAAAACGTAGCATGATATCTAAAGATACAAGATCTTTATGTGGTGATCCCCAAAGAATAACACAACATGATTTGTGTGTATTCAAGGTTTTTATGTAGATGTCCTGGAAGAAAACACAACATTATATCTAAATGTACAAGGTGTTTATATGGAGATCCTCTAGGAATAGCATAACATGACCAACATGACATCTTACTGTTCAGGGTATTTGTAAGATATCCTGAAAGAAAAAACATAGCATCGATGATTGATGATACGACATTATTTGAACATCCTTTAAGAATAACACATGATATCTAGATGTACAAGGTAATTATGCAGATCAGATCTTCAACGTAAACGTAAACATTTCGTGCACTGCAACATAATATAAAATTTGACCTTGGACAACATGTAGAGGTTTTGGAAAAAATTTTGCATTTTTACTTTTTAGTCACCCCTAAAATGCTAAGTCATTTCGATGGTCAGTCCAACCTTGATCATCCAGATGGCCACATCGATGAACTGGAAAACATTTTGGCCGATCTTATAGATTACTTCAACGCATTCGAAATGTCAGCCATATCCTTGCCATCGAGTCAACTCTTGACGACCATTTTCAGGAAGATCATCAGCAAGAGTCTATCAGTTAACCATGGGAGCCTAGCTTATAATTTTAGTTGTTACAGTTCTATAGAAAGACATACCTGGAATTTCGGGGAAGTACATTGCACTGGAGGACAAATATAGTGTCCAAGTGCCCAAGTGAAAACTAGAGTGAGAAAACTGATGCTGAGCACCAGAAGACACGTTGAGGCAGAAGTTTCCGTGGAGCAGCAAGACTGCCTCAGCAACGTAGTCTGCAACAAAATGATCTGTTTTGTTTCATCTATGCAGTCACTGAGATATAAATACAACTGTCATAACAACTCTGCTAGAAAATCGACACGTTATAATATTTATAGGTTGGCACCAACTAGGGGATTAATTGCGTATGCACAATCCCCCAACCCCCTAGTTCGAAACTAAGCGCAATGTACCTTATTCCATATTTGAAATGGTGGCCAGCTCCAAAATTCTCTAATTCAGTGCTACCTCCAGTTGCATGTTTAGATCAGTGGGTGCAGTTAGATGTTACATTTTGAAATTTGCCACACTGTTTTCTTAATATAAGTAGCAACAGTTTTAATACCGCGTACATTGTTGAAATATTTGTTGGGAAGCATCATTCGATTCAAGAACGTGTTATAATAATCGCTAAAACCTTCACCAAAAGTGAAAGGATTATTAATAACGTGATTTCAGTTAATATATGTAGGCCTTCACTGAGAATCATTTTCTGGCACCTACCTAGTTAGTTGTAGTAGGTGTTGTGTCCCCCAAAGTTAAACGTCCTGCGAATAAATAGGTGATAGATAGTTTCAATGACAAATAAAATCAAAATCGGATTTATTTAAACATAGATTACATATACAAAATAAAGTTTTTATCAAAAATAAAGTACAATTATAGGTAGTAGCTTAGAAGCATCACATAAATGCAAATGTAACACGATCAGTGTTAGATTTTCAAAACCAGTACTACCTCCACCAAAATAATAGGCCTACCATTGACTATTGGACTAGTTGTATTTATAGTCAAAGATAATAATGAACTGTTAAGCATATGATGTACAACAACTTTCTCGAATTGTTGTTTCGGTTATCGACATTAACAGCAAACCCCATGTGCTCTTAGCACCACTGGATTATTTCCTTCAGAATAACTCAAAGCAGAAGGTTTATGAAAACATACCAAACAAAGTCTACAAACAGAGTGTGTAGAGTTATCCATCAAATTGCTCCACGATAGAACGGGAAAGTGATGAAAACGTGCTAAATTCCTTAGGGACGCACGTAACGGCTATTTGATACATCCGTTTCATGTTTATTTTAATTTATAACAATTGTGTCTAAATAAAAGTTTAATTTTGAGCATAATATTTAGTATGGTCATTGGTAAGCTGATTACTTACGCCTAGTAAGTAAACTATGCGTGTACTTAATCTCAAGTAGTCTTTAACTTAAATGCCCTATATTTTCATTGTTACGTTGGTTCTCATTTAGTAACATTTTGATCGCTCTTTTATATATTAAAACTGTGAATGTGTGTTCCTTGCTACTCCCTATGTAAATGTACATTTGCTTATGTGTATTCTTGATGTATCAGTATGTTGTCGAACATTATTATTACTGATTTCTTTAGGGTTATATATTATTAGTGGGCAGCAAAACTATAAGCATTTGCATGGATGTCTTTTACGTATTTATATAGTGTGTGATGATTTACTATTTAGGTTAACGTTCAATTACAAAATATATTGTGTGATGGGTAATAAGATTTGCACTGTTACCCATAAAAACTACCTAAGAAAGAGTAAAAAGGTGCTATAGTCTGTATGATGGAACCTGTCTCCTCCTTCGTCTACCTGGGGAACGAATCTGTCTACCCCCTTAAATCGTTGGCCAGTCCCCCAGGTAGTCAGTAGACAGGTTCCATTATCCAGACTATAATGAAAAATTGAAGTGCCTCAAATGTATTGGTTCCAAACTTATAATCAGATTTTAACCTCCAAATTGATACTTTTACTACAATAGTCAGATGGGGAGTACCTAACAATAAACAATAATTTTTCGAAATTAGTGTGATCAAAATGTTACTTACTTTACACAATTTTAAATAAACTAAATATTTACAAGAAACAGTTTGCATAACATACCGAGTGCGAATCCTGGAGATCTATTCCCAAAAGTTTAGCCCTCCGAATAATGTGCGAAAGTCGTTTTCGAGCGCTTACAATTTTCCCCTTCATCACAAAACAGATTTGGATCATTCTGTAAGACTCATTTTATTTCTGAACTTCACATGTTTACCATTGTATTTTACACATTCCACAAAAAGACGAAGTCGAGGTAAGCTATAGAATTAGGAATACTAAATTTGAGTAAAGTTGTATAATCACACAAATTAGAACGTTCAGAAATTTAACTTTAAAGTTTACAACACGTGACAAACACGAGAAAGTTCCGTTTTGAAGGATCGCGAAGTGTCCTGTGGTACACGTAGGACGAAACTGACGCTCCAGGAATGATACTGGGGGTAACTTTCCTTTGCCACCCTCTCCTCCCAAAAGACTGCACCCCCAACCACCCTACATGATGAGATACGTTGTTGGTTACAGTTGTAAATTATTTAGAAAAACTAAAATAAATATATTCGTGTACATATCCTATCCTATATAAAAGGCAAGGATGTACCTTAAAAACCTTTTACCCAGCTCGTGTGCATTGCAGGAAAAATCTACACATACTGTTAGAAAGATATTTGCCTTAGTACAGAATCCCTTTATAAATTAAAATAGGCTAAAAAATAAGCACAATATATGAATTTTAAATAATAAAAAATTACATGGGCCATATTTACTGCTATATGCTGGTGACGAAATATTAACGAAATGTAAACAGAAAATGAAAACAAATGGAAGAAATTACAATCTCACGTTTTATTTACAGCGTGTGGTGGAAATAGAGAAGTTTGCATATTACATATTTTTGGTCGAATTTGCGACCACGGGGTGACCTCTAGTTACTATAAATCGAATAATGATTTTTTGTGGGGAAGCTATTTGTTTACAGCGGACTAGTATTTATATATATTTTATTTGTCACGGACAGTAATGAATATGTTCTTAATCGAATATTTGTGGTGAATTTTAGAGCAATATGATTTCAATTAATGTGTTCAATATAGCCTAAGTATCATTTTCCTATTCTAAAACCCATTGAGTCATGTGTTATTGCTAAATTCCTTGTACAGTTTGATGAAATGTTCACTATTTTAACAAACATTTTTTTTAGAACCTGGACTGGTTCCATCTAACATGAGTCAGTATGGGCAATGGTAAATTTGTAATAGTATTCGACTTAGTATACTAATAATTACTAATAATAATTTAATAGTAAATTGTAATGGATTACGACTTGACTGTACACTGGACTCCAAACATTACAGCATACTTACAGTTTACCGTAGCCCATCCATGAATATTGATTTGTTTTTAAATGATCTAGAAACCTACTGCATTACTACCAACAATTCAAATACTCACATTTTCATGGGTGATATAAACATTGACATTTTACCAGAGTCAAAACAAACCAATCTTAAAGAGGTTTACTTAAATATAATGTATTCAGCGGGTTTTATTGAATTAATAAATAAACCTACAAGAGAAGTTAACAACTCTTAAACTTGCATTGATCACATTTTTGTCAAACACTATGACTGTAACAAGCTGACTTCGTGTGTACTTACAACTGACATAACTGATCATTACACTCTTATAGCAAAAATTGAACTTGAAAACATTACAGCTCAACCTGAAACCTGCAACATGTACTTGGACTCGGGTGTTCTGAGTGGCTTGATGGCGGTCCAGTCGTGGGATCACGTCCTTGCACATCAGGATGTTAATGATTGTTGTGACGCATTTTTAAACACATTTTCTAGTTTAAAACTTAAAGCTATGCGTGTAATAAAACCCACCTCTAGATTTAAGAAATTAAAGCCATGGATAAACACAGAGTTAATATTTGCTATTAGAAAACGAGATAAAATGAGTAAACTGGTTAAAGCCCGACCTTTTGATGAGCAATTAAAATTTCAATTTCAAGCTTTTAGAAACCAGTTATCAAATAAAATCAAAACTACAAAACAAAACTTTTACAGAGAAAAAATAACAGCCTCTGTTGACAACCCCAGATTATTTTGGAAACATATAAATGAATTTAATGGAGCAAATATAAAGAGATGCAATTTTCCTGTTTCACTTTTCCAGCAACCGTCAGACTCAAGTGGAGGGGGTTTGGGAGCGGTGGCTAACTCGTTTAATGAATTTTTCTCTAGTGTTGGTAATAGGTTGGCGAGCGAGTTGCCACCGCCCGTGGGTCCGCCACTGGTCGACGATGCTTTGTTCAGTGTAGGACAGGGGCGTGAACTGCGACTGGAGCCTGTCCAGTGTTCCCAGATTGGCCGTAGTCAAATATCGTACACGCGGTCCTAAATTATCGTATTTCACGAAAAATTATCGTACAATTTTAAATAACAATCGTAACTGGCTTGAGTATTGAAATACCTAATAGACTTATATATTTTTTTATTATAAATCTCAAAATCGCCATAAAACCATATTATTTTTAGTTTTGCACGTTGTAATCATAGTAGGTAACTGATATTATGTGAATATTTCTCAACCTCAACACAAACACTACACCAGTATTTTCCTTCCACCATGCACTCATGGCCACCTTTAACTACAGGCCGCGGCCTGGTAGAATTGGCATCTCCACAAGTGGTATGTTGTTCAGTGACAGACGTCTCATAAGATAACATGGCAGACAGGTGATATCAGCTCATTAATTCACACTTTATTGATTTCAATTTAAATTTATACACATAAATTTATTAAAATATTGAAAAAAAGACATACAGAATTGAAAACCGAAACAATATGAATTAAAAATCTATTATGTACATTTTAAGCGGAGTCAATATTGTCATAGTCCAGTAACCAATATTTCGTTAATACACAAATACCATTAGCTGCTTCACTTCCAAACAAAACAGCTGTTACAACACCTCTTGTGATGTTGCCACTTTGAAGGCCGAGGCCTGGAGTTAAAGGCGGCCGTGCGTGCACCCGTGCACCTGCACCATCGATCTCTAAAATAGAGATCGATGGCGTGCACTACTACACCAATAATTCGCCAAATGGGCGAGATTATGTACGGAAGGTCTGTTCTTATGGTAACAGACTTTCTCGTGGTGTAGGAGAAGCAGAAGAAGCGAAGCAGAAGCATTCAAGCAGTTTAGAAGCACATTTCATGGAAATGGTTTCGTTTTAATTTTATTCATACTAACAGTTAACTTATAGTTTTCATAAGATTGATTTTTTATTTATTGATTTTTATATCCCATCTCTAATAAATACTGAGTTTTGATTTAAAACAGCAAAAATGTTTCCAAATTTTTGGGTATAACCTCCCAAACCAATTTTGTAAAAGAGTACTATTCAATTGCCCAAATTATCGTACAAATAGCATTATCGTACGGTGACGTATCGTACATCGTACGGGAGGCTAAATTATCGTACAAAACGATAATTATCGTACGTCTGAGAACACTGAGCCTGTCTCTGACAGTCGGTTGGCTGAGTGTGTGAGGGAAATGCGAGGCGGTTCTGCTCCCGGGTTCGATGAATTTCCAGCCAAAATACTAAAAAATCATCTGCAAGACATTTTACTACCTCTCAAACATCTTATTAACTTGAGTATTACTTCAGGCATTTTTCCAAACAGATTTAAAATAGCTAAGGTAATCCCTCTGTATAAGTCTGGGCAAAAAGATGACAAAAATAATTATAGACCAATCTCATTGTTAAGTGTACTATCTAAAGTGTTAGAGAAATGTGTCAAAATTCAACTCCAAAATTATTTGGATGAACATGGAATTTTATCAGAACAACAGTTTGGGTTTAGAAAAGGTAAAAATACTACTGATGCACTATTTCTTATCAATAAAACATTAATCGAGTCAGTGAATAGAAATGAAAAAATACTAATTGCATTCATAGATCTTGCTAAAGCGTTTGACTCTATTGATAGGAAAATTCTTTTCAAAAAGTTAGAATATTTGGGAGTAAGGGGTTTAGCCCTGGCATGGTTTAAAAGTTATTTAAGCAATAGGACTCAAGTAGTATCAATTAATAACGTAATTAGTGATCAAATGAATGTAGATTTTGGAATTATTCAAGGTTCTACAATGGGGCCCTTATTATTTTTAATTTACATAAATAACATAGATAAAATTGATATTTCTGGAAAAATATTCTTGTTTGCAGATGACACAGCAGTAATCTTTAGGGCACGTACTTGGGAAGAGGTTTTTAATATTGCATCATCAGAATTACAAATTTTAAAAAGATGGTTCTCAGAAAATATTTTAACAATGAATGTCAGTAAAACAAAATGTTTGCCTATCGCACTTCGTCCCGCTAGCGAGCCGCCCGCCGAACTCAGACTAACCTTGCACTCATGTGGCACCGCAGGCAGCGATTGCAACTGCCAAATTATTGAAACTGTGTCGCAGTATAAATACCTGGGCATTATAATGGATTCTAAATTGAAATGGGAAAGCCATATAATTTTTTTAAAAACAAAGCTTAGAAAAATGATTTATGTTTTTTATCAATTGGGTCAAATTTTACGACATGACGAAATTAAAAGAATTTACTACGCATACGTTCAATCTCATCTGCAGTATGGTTTAATAGCTTGGGGAGGGGCTTATTCATCGGTAATTGAACCTTTGTTCGTAATTCAAAAATCAATAATTAGAGCTGCGTTAAGAAAACCGAGACGTTATTCTACTGATCATTTGTTCAAAGAATCTCAGCTTTTATCAATAAGGCAGCTATATGTTAAAGATTTATTAGCTTATTCATACATTCATTTGGACCTTATCGCCTCGCCCGTAGTTCATAACTATCATACCAGAAACTCAGTGATGATAGGATTACGGGTACCAAGAGTTCTCAAATCAATCAATTTAACAAATTCCTTTTACATTGCTAATTGCTTGTTGCGTAATATTCCTCCAGAAATTAGGGACCTGCGAGTGTCACTGAGTGTATATAAGAGGGTTATCGCTAATTGGCTGATGGAAATAGGCCTTGACAATACAGAGTCGCTTATCAGCCCAGAATATCTCGTTTAGACCTAACCAACTGATAACTGGACTATCTATTGTACCTTCTACAGCAC